ATTTTTAAAAATTTGCAAAACCTTCCAGGGAAAACACTTGGACACATGACACAGGCCCGTGCTCGGTGGGAAGCCCTGGCCGCTTCCGGGGCAAGAGGCAGAAGCACCACGTGGGAGAAGGACTCTGGAGAGGACTATTGTGTGTTTGGGGACGGATCACTACTTGTCTGAACTTTCGGGAGGTCGAGGGTGTTTTTAATTTAATGGATTAATCATTTGTGTCTGGAGTTCTTGCTCCTTCTGATGAAAGCCATGCAGGAGGTCCGCACGAAGTTATAAATCATGTCGGTGTTCGGGCCTCATGTCTGGGAGGCCGTCTCCGGGGAAGTTAAGTTCTCACTGGAGAGGCAGCGGTTTCCTGGGAGGGATCCCGTTAGCCCCCAGGTAAAGACGGGCCTTGGATGGAGAAGCTTCAGAGATGGTGGCCCAGCCTGCTCATGGGGTTACACTCTTACCGTCAGGGAGTGAGGCATCTCCAGAGAGAAGTCTATACTCTATTTCTTGTGTGGCGAATTTCTGTGGGGTTGATTTTCCCATCTGTATAATGGATTGGAGGCTCTCTGAAGGGCCACCCGCTCAGACCATCTGTGTCCATCAGCTACAACAAGACAACCCCAAACCTCCCCCACATCTGTCCTGCCTTGGACTTCAAACTCTATCCGTGTCAGTCGTTTGCCACGTATCCTATCTCATCAGGCTATGAGGCAGGAGGTGCTGTTGTTATTCCCATTTTACAGGTGAGTTTACCTGCCTAAGACTGTCTATCAAGGAAGCACCAGCACTAGGTTTGTCTGGCTCAGAGTTGATGTCTTGACCCTTGGACAGAGGTGCTGCCCTGTGCCTAGGGGGGAACCGCCGCCAGCCCAGCTCCTGCTTCCAGGGCTGGTATCTCTGTCTCTTGGGCCCACAGGCCACACGTTAACTGCCCAGCACATCTGCTGTTCAACTGGAATCTTCTGAGCACCCCCCACCCCCAATGCTTAACTTAACTTCTGGAATACTTTCCTCATGCTCCCCTTCTTGGCTTCCCTCTGAGGAGACCCTAGCTGGAGGGCCAGGCACAGAACATCGCTCTCCACCTGCATGTCCGAGGCCAAAGGGGACCAAAAGAGACCTCCAACAGCCCTACGGGGCAATCGCACTGAGTCCCCTCATTACTCAGGGCCATCTTCAAGCTCTGGATGGCAGAAAGGAACAAGTACCACAGATAAATTTGTTTCTGCATTCTCTCCCCTTCCTTAAGGGACTCCTCAGAAACCTCGTGTCCCTCTGTCCTGAGCACCAGCAACGCTACTCAGCCTTCCCAGGGCCTCCTGCCAGGAAGCTCCCCCCTTTGGCACCATGCCTCAGCCTGCAAAGCTCCCCATCCCACCGCTTCTGGGCGCCTCTGGGAGCCTGCACAGCGTCGGGAGTCTGCACAGTGACCTGCTAAGCCCTGCCCGGAGCTGGATGTCGCCAAGCCGCGTGGTCCGCCTGCTGCAGTCCTGCTGAGGGCGGGGCCGGGCCTTGGAGTCACCGCCATGGATCCTTCCTCAGAGTCCCGCTAGGTCGGCTGTTTCTGCGCAGGTCTAAGCTCATCACTGGGACAGGGATACATGAGGCGGGGTTCCTGACCCCTGTCCCCGATAGTGTGCAGCCCATGTAACTTCACATGGGCCGCACACAAGGAACTTCATTTCTTTAATATGACTTTTCCCTTCATTCAAGCCAGCTCTGTCCAGGCTAATAGCACCACGACTCACTTGCCTCCTTCGACCAGATCTCTCCACTTTTGCACAGACTGCACGACCGCTCCCTTATCCATTAAGCCCTCAGGACAATTAGGTTCTGCTCAGTGTCAAACTGTCTTACAGAACAAAGCCTCAAGTCTGTTGATCAAGAGAACAGAGTTTCAGTTATGTTTCAGCCCCAGACCCAGGAAGGTGGATGCCCTACTGACCACATTCTTGCAAAAACAGATAGAACAACTCTATGGCTGACATTAGGACCAGATGCAATGATAACTACCCCCTACCTGGGCCCTGACCAATCAGTAGAGCTCATGACTCTAACTCCCTTTGTTATCGTGATTGATGATTTCCCCCTATATAATCTGTCCCCAAGCAGCCTCAGGGAGCCAGGTTTTAGAACTCTAGCTCACTTGTGTCTCGGGGCTTGGTGCTAGTTCCTTAAATAAACCTTCACTTTCTTTGCTACACACTCCTGTGTGTGTCTTTGCTGCATGCAGGAAACGAACCCCTTCATTTCGGTAACACCCACAGCAGCTCAACACAGACCTGCTGACTGACTTCCCTGCATCCCACATCTGGATTCTCCAGTACCAACCACACCATGCCCCAACAAGGGGGGAGGCCAGGGGTCATGAGCCCTGGAGTCTAGATCTGCTCTGCAGTTACTGACGGTAAGGCTGGGGGTCCTGGGCAGATCACTTACCATCTCTGAGCCCCAGCTTCCTCATCTAAAACAGGGTGGTGCATGGTGGGTATTCAGCAAGTGTTACTGTTGTAACTGTCTTTCACACCACTGGGCTCTCCACAGCACCTTCGCATCGCCCCACAGATTCTCTCTCTCCAGCCCCACAGCAAGCTTAACTTCTGGAATACTCTGAACGCCTCCCTCTTGTTCCCAGTCAGCAGGCAGCGGACTGTGTCCTATTGAGGCAATAGTTGGCTTGTGTTAGCATGTTGCTCCCATGAGGGAGCTGGTTAATGGACCCAAATGCCACCCCAAGTGCCTGGGAGTCAGCCCAGCCCAGGGACCACGGGGACGCCCGGAGCTGCGGCCACCTGAATGGCCTAGCCCAGATGTCATAAAGCCAAGCACAGGGAGCCAATTTAACGAGGCAGAAAACTGATTACAAATAAAGAGGTCCCAGCATGCTTCCTCCAATTCTATTGATAGTCCTCTTGCTGGAAGAGAACTCTCTAAGCAATTAGGAAATGGATCTCAAAGGGCCTCTCTCTGGATCTCTGTGCGAAGGTTTACTCTGTTCAGACTCCCCCAGAGCCAAGAGCAGCCTTTCAGGGGAGACTGAGTACTTGCTGGGCTAGTGGAGCTGTAGGAGGGGGTGGGGGAGCTGGGGGTGAGGAAGGGGGGAAGGGGGTGGGGAGGCAGAGGGAGGAGGAGGGGGCCTTGCACGGCACTGTCCAATACGAGCTGCAGGGTCTGCTCCCAGCTGGTGGGAGGGTGTCTCCTCCACTTCGAGCCCAGCACCACCACATGGTGCCAGTGGGCCTGGGCCTTGCTGCCAGGCTCGGCACCGGCGGCGAAGAACTGGCGTGTCCACATCATAAGCTCAGTCTCAGAATTCTGGGGGACTTAGGGTTCAGGGCCCTCCTCGTGCCATGGACTTCCCACTTAACATGTGAAGGCATTTAAGAGCACAGTCTCCTCGGACAGCCTAGGCTCACCTGTACAGACTCTCCCTCTCCCCCCGCCCCCATTATGATTTTCTTGGTTCTTGTGAAGTGTGGGCAGGATATGAAGGGCTGAAGTGAGGTTCTGGGCATAGTGATTCATTTCCCTTTCCCAGGTTTGTCTGAGGATCCTGGGACCCGGGACAAACCATGGGGAGCTCTCCTGCAACCAAATAGTCCCCAGTGTTGCACTATGCCGGGCACCCTTGCCTGCTTTAGACCGGAAAGCCCTCTTCACACTGCAGAGCACTGTCCTGCCCCTGCTGGAGGAGAGGCCCGCACACTGCCTGCCGGCCACGCATCACCCCGCCCGAGCCTGGGCCGGCTCACCCAGCGCGTGTTATAACTCATAACCCTGGGTAATTCCTGGAGACACCCAGAGATTTCATCGTAGGCCTGGATTCAAGCCAACAAGCACAGCCACAAAACCCAAAAGGATTAAGTAGATCCCAGCTCAAGGGAAACGCCAATAAAATATGGTTTAGCATGTATGAGTATAAAAGTCCCTAAAACATCCTACGGGGTAAATGCACAGGCAAGCTGAGCTCACCCAGCTGTCCTTAAATGGCTTGTCACTGTGGATTCCAGGGGTAAGCGAAACTGAACCTCATTCCTGACATCTCTCTCACTTGATCTCAGGGCAGAAGCTGCCTCAAAGGGTGTGGGGCTGCCTTGAGCTTCTACACCATTCCTGGTACACGGGCTCCCACTCAGACCTGCTGGGTGATAGGAACGACGCCTCGACCAGTCTGATTTCCCTACAATACTCATCCTCCATAGCACTGTGCGGAGATCATGGCTTGTTTGTTCTGATGGCGGGCGTGGCCAGGCTGGGGTCAGAGCACAGGCCCTGAGTCTAGAACAATACCAGCCAGTGGTGTGACCCATTGACCTTACCTAGAGACTCATCCACAACATGGGATAGAATATACCAGCCGGGAGAGCCCATGTGATGTGTAAGCACAGGACTGGCCAGAATAAGTGCTCAGAGAACCCTGGCTGCTGTGATCATTGATGCTGTCACGGCAGGGGGATGGTTCCCAGGAGTCCTGGCAACGCAGGGGTCTGGGAGAAGCAGAGAGCCTCCCAAGCCTGCTCAGGTTCGGCTTGGCCCAGCTGAGGCGCGTTGAGCCTCTTAGGGAGGGAGATGGGAACCAGCCTGCTGGAGGAAGCTGTGCCTCCCGGCTGGATAAGCGAGGTGGGTCCACACTGCCTGGAAGTGGTGGTGGGTTTAGGCAGTGTCTGCTTCTCACCGAGCCCGGCCCACATGGAGCAGCTCACTGCTGCAGCCACGTCACTGCAGGGCTCACTGCTGCAGCCTCTGTACTGAGCACGACCTGCCAACACTACTCACCCCCTTGCGCCAGGGTTCATTCCATCAGACAGGGCTTTGGGTGAAGCCAGGCACGAACATTAGTTGGCGGATGTTGCCCTTTTCCCATGGCTCCCCTTTACTTATGAGAGAGATGGGGTACTTGGGGGTCAGATATTTCTTAAAGAAAATGACTACAGGAGTAGGGGTTGTTCTGAGCAGCATTTGGGGAACGCTTTGAGGGGGCGACACGCACGGAGCCATTTACTAACCATTCACCTGCAGGACGTGGGTCTGGAACAGCTCCTCGTGGCCGGAGGCGTGGCAGGTGTAGTTGCCCATGTGGATGGTGGTCACCTTGGTGATGTAGAGGGAGTCGTCCTCTCCGAAGTCCTGCACAGGGCAAGGAAGACAGCGTGGTTGGCCTCTCTACTGAGGAGCCTGGGAAGGGCAGCCAGCCTCCCGGTTTTCCAGGAAAACAGAAACGCTGCAGCTTCGAGAGACTTCCCGCCTGTCCCCTGCTTGCCAGAGCGGCCTGTGCAGGCCTGGGCAGCGGGGACTGCATCTGTCCCCTGTCGCTTGCCCAGGCCCATCTTTTTTTTTTAATCCTCACCCGAGGACATTTTTCCATTTTTTGTTCAGATAGAGTGAAAGGGAGAGAGAGAGAGAGAGAGAGAGAGAAACATCGATGTGAAAGAGACACATCGAGTGGTTGCCACCCACATGACCCAACCAGGGCCGGGGACAAACTGCAACCGAGGTACATGCCCTTAGCGGAAACTGAACCAGGGTCTCTCCGGACCGCAGGCCGACGCTCTAACCGCTGAGCCAAACTGGCCAGGGCTGCTCAGACCCATTTCAGGCTTGTTCACCTTCCCTGGGCGGCCATGCTTGAGCACCTTCCCCAGCAAGCTCCCTCTCAGTTTCTACCGCTGGGCTCCCCTGCCCTGCTGTTTACCAGCTGATTTCTTGGGCTCCTGCCCACCTGTTCTTGGAGGACCCCTTGTTTAGTGTAAGTAGACTTTTTCTTAAAGGGCCAAATTGCAATTTTTTGGCTTTGTGGGCCCAGGGTTCTTGTCATTTATTCAGCTTTGCCTTATAGCATGAACATAGCTATAACAACACATAAATTAACCATGTCACTATATTTTATGTTAAAAAAAAAATAGGCGGTAGGCTGGATTTGGCCTGTGGGCTGATGTTTGCTCACCATGGGTTTAGATCCCACCTTGATACCAAAAATAATTTCAGGCAGCTTGTAGAGATCTGGATAACCCAAGAGAAAAGAAATGAGACTGAGGAAAATGGCGCAAACAACACAAAGGCAGGGCACACAGAGAGCGTGTGTGTGTGTGTGTGTGTGTGATGTTCCCTGGGATACGGCTCCACACGTCTTGTCCCTATGACCCTGCAGCTCACAGTGTGGGCTCCCATTGGGCTATGTGTCGGGGAGGGGTGGGCGGGGGGCTTTTGGCTGGTCAGAAGCCCTGTGAGGACTTGGGCACAAGCACTCCCCCAAGGCCTCTTTGGTCCACTGCGTCCTCTCTAGCAGAACCACGCACAGTGCTGGCCCTGTCCAGGCCCAACTGCAGACATGCTGGGGATGGAATGACCAGTGTTCCAGGAGGACCCTCTCAGATTTGGCCTCAGCTATCAAACATCTCTGAGGTGTACTCAGAGACGGGGGACAGAGGAGGGCCTGGCTCACTGCAGAGACACAGGGCCGCGCTGTGCGGTTGTGAGGTGACAGGCCCAGTGTGGGGGCTCCGGAGATGGAGGTTTAGCTTGAACTCTGTCATGGACCAAATGTTCCCTGCCCCTCTGGCATGGTGCCCACGCCGGTAAACTGTGCCCTGCCTGCCTCATGAGGTGTTGGGAGATGCAGCAGGAGAGCGTCCGTGAACACGTTTTCCGTTGTGGGCAGTGTGGCACACATGGGATGGTGCTCTTCTTGTTATCAACAGAAGATAACAACTCCTCTTGACCCCCTGGAGCCAACACCAAGTCATCCCTCCTGCTGTCTCCCCGGCCTTTTTCCACAGAGGCCGGGTGGCAGGAGGGGGACGGGCCACCCGTCAGTGGGGCACGGGTTGTCCATGGGCAGGCCCACGGCAGCTCTCGTCCTTATTCCTATGTGTGCTCCTGCTCCCCGAAACGCTGACCCCTTTTGCTCACACTGCAGAGGGCCTGGTCACAACCCTCAAGTGTCCTTTGAAGATGCTTTCTGGCCAATGCATGAGCCCAGGGAGGGGTGTGGGCTCAGAGAGAGGCCGGGCAGGGCAGAGGCGGGAGGCGGACCGGCCGTGCGCAGCCAGCTTTCCGGGAGACTACCGGCCGCGCTCCCGCGCAGCAGTGGAACCCGCTGCGGGACCCGCCAGTTTGCCGAGGCATTGCTCTGCTTCCCACCCCCATCACTCTGAGAGCTTCAATAATAAAAATAAAACACCAGATAGCTGATGTGTCCTGTGTCATCACAGTCACGAAGGGTTCATACCTGAGCTGCTCATGAAAAGCTAATGGTTAGTTCTGGGGCTGACCTATTTCTGGTCTAAGCTATTTCCTGTGTGAAAATCTAAGTTTGGAGGAAAATATATTTTGCTGGTCCCAGTGGCCAAATGGCATCTAGAAAGAAGGCTGGGAAGCGGTGTGCAGCCCCCACCTCGGGAGCCCCCCAACACCTCACCTGGCGGGTTCCAGAGCAGACTCTGTCCCAAAGGGCAGCCCCGGCGCTGCACACAGGTAGCCTGGTGCTGAGGGTCTCTGGCCTCCCGCCCCCTCCACACTGCCTCCTTCTCGCCACAGCCCTCCTCACAGGAAGGCCGTTGGCACCCCCTGTGTTGTTGTCACCTCCACGGGGGTGGTGCTCATGGGACCAAGCATTTCTCCAGCTAAGAAGCACCCCAAGGCCAAGGTCCCACAGATCGACGGCAGTGATGCCACGGTCTTTAAGAGCTGATGCTGTGCCAGGAAACCTGTGCTGCCTTGTTTGCTCCTCCGCAGACCCTCTGAGAGCCGTCGACTGAACAAGAGTCCCGTCCTGCTCTTCTTCAGAGCACAGTCAGTCTGACCTGTCCTTACCACCTTCGCCGTGGGCCAGCCACCGTCTTTCCTCTTGGGGATGGCAGGCACCTCCACACAGCAGCCAGACCACAGCTCTCCTTGCCCAGAGACACCGCCCACTGGTCTGCAGGGACGACCTGCTGTCCCCTCTCCTGCCGCACCTCCTCCCACTCTCCCTGCTCACACCACTCCAGCACGGGGCCCTGAGTGCCAGGGATCCTGCCCCTCAGGAGCTTTCTACCTGCTCCTCCCCCAAAGCAATGGATCAGTCTGGCCTTCTCTCCTCCTTCAAGTCTGCTCAAATGTTATCTGGGGCCCTTTCTGTCCCCCCACCTTCCTCCGGCTTTATTTCTCTGTCTGGCACTCACTACCATTTAGCAAACTTGTCATTGTGTTTGCCTTGTTTGCTGTCTGTCTGTCTGTCCCCACGGGAACGTGAGCTCCACAGGGAGGGCAGGGCTGTGTGCGCTGCTCACTGCTGCTCCGGCACCCAGCTCAGGACCCAGCATGGCTGAACTGTGCAAGGTGCGGGCTGGGTCTCTGCAGGGGCTGTCTCTGGTTCTTTGGGTTTGACCACTGAGGCGCCCACCTCCTGCCTTCCATCCATCCAAATGTCGCCAGTCCCATGGGTCAAAATGAGGAAGCTGGTGGGAAGGCAGAGAGCTGGTCTTGGTCTCGGCCCCGCCTCCCCACCCTGTCTCCTGCATGCTGCACCCCTCAGCCGGGGCACACGTGGACTGCAGAGAAGGCACGGCTCAGGCCGGAAGAGCCCGTGCATGGGAGCCCATCCCAGACTTGGCCGGTGACTTCTGGCGAGCCCTTACAAAGCCCCTTACCCTCTGCCCACTTCTCCTCACCGCTCCTCGGGGCAGAGGCTTAGCCTGGGTGCTCGGCCGGCTGCCGAGGGGTGTGTGCAGCTCGCCCAGCTCTCAAGGCTGCTGGAAGCATCCGGCTCCACTTGGAGCACCTCACTCAGGTCAGCGCAGGATTTTCGCTCTGGGAGAACCCAACTCATAAAATGATGTCTCTAGGCTAAAATAATAGGCATCATGTAATTATAAAGCAAAGTGCATATTGTTTTCTGGAACATGGATACCGGCTACAGAACTCAAATTGACCTCATTGGATGTGAAGAAATTACTTTAAAAATTGATTTATAAGAAGCTGCATAAAACTAAACCTGCAATCCTTACTGTCCCGACTGTTCTCTGAGGTATGTCTGAACACTGCCATCAGTGCTTGATTGCATCTCTGTAATTGTCTTTTTATGGATGGCTTTTTTCCCTAGCTCTAGTGCACAGAAATGTATTAGCAGAATCAAGTTTCCTTCCAGCAATAAACAGATGCCCAGTTAGACCACTCTTTGTACTGATGCATATCCATCTTTGGGAAAGAGACACTTTTCCTTAAAGACATGGTTTTTGCCTTTTAAAAAGCTATTTTCTAAGTATCTGCCCTTAATAAAGAAAGCAATTAAGTGAGACTTAAGTATTAAACTATAGTTAGGCAGAGGCGAAATGAGGGATGTTGTCATAGTGATACATGGGAGTCAGGTCTAAGTAACGTGAAAATGAGCCACCGGTGCTGAATACTGAGTGACTAGGTGTTCAACACAAAGACTCAAAGTGGTTGCAGAGTTTGGGTTAATGATACTGTCAATGCTACAAGTTAAAACTCAATTTAGAAACATTTATTCAGAGCTTTTCCAACTCTGCCCTTCTCTGGAGCACCCGTGGCTCTCTTTGGGGAGGTGGATTAAAGGAGGGGGCCCCATGCTGGTTCAGGTCTGGCCCCTGGAATTTTACTAAAACGAGCTCCCCACCTGCACCAACATTTCGACAGCATGAACTCAAACACCGAGAGACGTGCAACGCCTTGGCGATGGCTGGTCCTCAGAGATGTCTGCATTCACAAGAGCACACGTGTCTGTTTATCCACATGCATCCTTGGCGGGCACACACAGCACCCACGAGAGCACGCGCAGCAAACCTGAGCATGCATGTGCACACTGTTGCAGCCCACTGGCTCTCTACTGCTGACCACTCTGATCTACACCAGGTTCCCCTGCTGGTCACTTCGTCCCAGCCCCTTGGAGGGCAGACTTGCCACTCTGCAAGGACCTGCAGAACCAGTCCTCTTGCTCAGAGCCCTCTTTATTTATTTATTTTATCCTCACCCGAGGACATTTTTCCATTTTTTGTTCAGATAGATTGGGAGGGAGAGAAAGGAAGAGAAAGAGAGAAACATAGACGTGAAAGGGACACATCGAGTGGCTGCCTCCCACAAGACCAACCAGGGCCGGGGACAAACTGCAACTGAGGTACGCGCCCTTA